GGAATTTCTACTACATCACCATCCTGCGTGACCCCGTCTCCCGGTACCTGAGCGAATGGCGCCACGTCCAGCGAGGGGCGACGTGGAAGGCGTCCCTGCACGTCTGCGATGGCCGGTCCCCGACCACCGAGGAGCTGCCCAGCTGCTACACGGGGGACGACTGGTCGGGCTGTTCCCTGCAGGAGTTCATGGATTGTCCCTACAACCTCGCCAACAACCGCCAGGTCCGCATGCTGTCCGACCTCAGCCTGGTGGGATGCTACAACCTCTCGGTCATGCCCGAGGAGCAAAGAAATAAGGTTCTGCTAGACAGTGCCAAGGAGAACCTGAAGCGCATGGCCTTCTTCGGCCTGACCGAGTTCCAGCGGAAGACTCAGTATCTCTTTGAGAAGACTTTCAACATGAACTTCATCTCGCCGTTCACGCAGTACAATAGCACAAGGGCCTCCAGCGTGGAGATAGACGAGCAGACTCAGCGGCGCATCGAGGCCCTCAATTTTTTAGACATGGAGTTGTACGATTATGCAAAAGACCTGTTTTTGCAGCGGTACCAGTACATGCGGCAGAAGGAGCACCAGGAGGCGCGGCGGAAACGCCAGGAGCAGCGCAAGATCCTGCGGGCGAAGCAAGCGCACCTGCGGGAGCGGGGGGAGAACGGCTCCAGCACTGACTACATCGGGAACGTGGAGCGGTGGCGGCGGTAGGGAATGAGGGACACACACACACCCCCACCGAAAAGCGAAGCAGAACCCAACCCGCCAATCGGAGAGGACGGAGCAGTCCGGACAAATGACGCTTCTCGAGGGTTTGAAGCAAAAAGAGGTTGAAACGTTGCCTTTGCAGTTGCCTTTGCAGTAAATGTTGTACTGTACGTGGAACACTTAATCTTAGCGTGTAATTAAATTGTCCTTTTTAGGTTTGTTGGATTATTTATGAAACGCAGGAGCCAAGTAGGCTCATCGGAAATGGTTGCTTGGACATTTATTTAAAAGAAAAGGAAAAAAAAAAATATCCTTAAATTAGATATGAGTACAAAATGGGATGCCGGAAAATGTTTATGATGCTCAACTGAAATCTATCTGGGAAGCAAACTCATTTCCTAATAATGAGCATTTAGCATACTCTCACAATACAGTATATGAGCAAAACCTTTTCCCTTTGATTTTATCTTAATTTTATTTTAATAATGTGTTTTCAAGGGCACCGACTGCTTATGATATTTACCAAGTTAATGAATGGACGATGAAGGGAACAATAAAGGTTTAGAAAAAAATACTGACTAGTTTTATGTATAATATTGGCTTTTAAAAGGAATAGAAGTAATTTCTCTAGTTATATAAATATTTAAAATTTTAAACCTTTTCTACCTACTGCTGTTTAGAGTTTTAAGCTTGGTCTATCTCATATTAAATAAAAAAAAAGACATGCATACTTTTCTGAACTCGATGCCGATGTTAAAGACACTGTTTCCAGAATTTTTCAGGGCAGTATGATTTTAACCATTCTGGAAAATTTACAGCGCATCTTCATGTTTCATAAAGCCTTTTCCAAATTATAATCTTGTGACAGTGTCTAATTTTAAGTCTTTCATACCCATTCGAATGCATAGTGCTGAATTTATCGTTCCTTAATAATTGGTGGTATAAACTAGATGAAATTATGTTGCGGATATTTGTGTAGTGTCTTTAAAAAAGTTGTAAAAACTCTCTAATCCGAGCAATATTTTGAAGAGAATTGCTCGATGGAAGAAGTAGATTTACACTTGAATTAGGATTTACTTCCGAGTAAATCTTTGCGACACCAGATAAGAACAGGGCTTGCTTTTTGGGGTGGGTTTTTTTTTTTCTTTCCTATGCTCTTAATGCGATGACAGGTGAGTGGTGACTAAAACTGCCGGAAGCCAATTTTGCTATAGCCATAGTTGTAGAGGATGAGAAGGTTACGTGGTGCGCGGGGATGCCAGCAGCCCGCTCCCGCGCTGGACCGGGCTCACCCGCCGCCCTTCGGCCTCCCCGAGAGGAGACGGGGAGAGGAGACGGGGCGGGAGGTGCCGCGGGCTCCTAGAAATCTCTATGCAAAAAAAAAAAAAACAAACCACAAAAAAAAAAAAAACCACAACAAATAAATAAAAAATAAAAAACCTCTGCAAGGCTTGGGCTGTACATTCAGCGGTTTTGTCCGTAGCCGGCGACGCTCCCGAGCTTGGCACTAAACGGTGACCTCGGTGCGGGCGCGCGGTGATGGAGGTACCCGAAAAGGGCATTTTTTTTGTCACGATGCTGACGAGGCTCACTTGCACTATTGCCTTTCGCCTGTAATATTCTATACAGCAAGAGGGCAGGGAGGGCATAAAAACAGGCGGAAGGCTTTAAAAACATCTTAGGGCTCCACGCCTGAGTTACCAGAAAGGTTTGTTTTACATCTGATGTTGTAATTGCGACCCCGGGGGGGGCAGCGATCCCGCCGGGGGTGAGCGGAGAGCAGAGCGGCAACGAACCGATACCCTGCGTTAGCAGCTCGGAAAAGAGAATAACTTCATGTACAGCAATTTTATTGGGTTTTTTTGGTTTGTTTTGTTTCTTCTTTTTTTTTTTTTTTTTTCTAACTGAAAACAGCAGTTGCCAATATGACGTCTGGGTTGCGTTTTGGTTTTTACGGGGGGAAATAATTCGCTCTTAAAACTGAAAGGCACTGCTGTAAACAGGACTTGGCGGTGGGCGAGCTGGAGGGCCTGTTGCAGGAGGTGCGTTTTGTTTTTACGCTGTGGTGTGCATGGTTTACAGAGACTAGTTGCATTTTCTTTGTGTATACTGTTTCTTGTATATAGGGGATGTACGAATATAAGGATTTTTGTCATAACCATATCAAATTCTACTGATTTCCACTGTAGACGCTGTCTTATTGTGTAGATTTACAGGCCGATCCACTGACTTTGATTGTGTAATTTACCGATAGAACTGATAAATAAAATTTAACTACAGTCTCCTGATTTTCATCTGGTTATTTCTTTATCTGACAACGCGTTGGGAATTGCGCCGTTCAGAAGGAAGGGTAACTTTGCCACGACGGAAGCAGCCATTGACAGGCGAGCCTCTGAGTTTAAAACCGTGGCTTTTCTGAAGTGTATTTAAACTACAGCTTTCAAGGGCAAAGCCGCTTTGGACTTTCTCCGGGTCAGGAGTTACCGCAGAGGTTTTGACTGCTTTTCTGAGCTGTCCTCAGAAGAACAAGCTGTGGTTTCAAGTGATTTTAAATATGATTGTCAGTGGTCTGCAGCATTAAGGGCTTCTTTCTCTGTGCGTACATAGATGTCCGCGTACACGTATGATTATTATTATTATTTTCCTTTGTACAATACCCCCTCTTTCTGCTCCAGCTGGCTCTGGAGGATGCTGCCGCGCCGCTGACTCCCGCTGCATCCCGCTGCATCCCTTCCTGGGACACTTTAAAACACAAAGGAGCCAAACCAGACTTTGACGCAAAAGCAGGTGAGAATGAATTGAGCATAATGCCCTGAATCATCTAGAAAAGATGTGTTTTATGCAATTTGGGTGGAGGCATCTTTCTTTTCTTGGTGGCTATAAAAGATCAGCAGTCTTGCCGGACTCGCGGCGGAGCGGTAGACCCCAAGGTGTGTGTAGGAGACCTTGCCTTGACCTAGTGGAATTTCCCTGTGGGGACGGAGGTGCCCTTACTTTTGAGTACTTTATCTCTGCGAGGCTTTCTGAGCCGTGGGGAGCGGGGAACGGAGGGATCTGCCAGCGGATCCGCATTTGACTGACGCGGCTTTATATACAGGGCTATTAGCGCACCGAGAAAGCCGCTGGTGGAGCTGCTAATGGGATGGAGGTCATGCAAGATGCTTCCCTCCAACTGAAAAAGCACCCAGCAGTGATGCCTGGCATAAAAGCAGGGGTTGCCTTTTCAGAGGAGTACTCTGACAGCTGAGAAAACTCTTTTACTGCAGGAGAGAAAGGATGGAGGGGGGGGGGGGGGGGGGGGCATGCGTACGGACAGACAAACTTCCGAAGCTGAGGAGCTACAGCAGTGATTCGAGTAGCACTCCAACCCTCCGGTAAGCTTTGACAAAGCCTGGAGACGCGTTAAGACCACTCTTCTGAGCACCGAAAGGCTTTAAGTTTCTGCTGGAGAGAGGTGTCAGCAGCAGCGGCGCCGCCGGCATCAGCCCGGGGTGGTTGGTGTGGAGCTGGGGGGCTGCTTGGGGGATGGAGACGTCAGCACTGGTATGTAGCGTTAAAGGGAGTGGGTTGGTTCATTTCGGCTTCCAAAAGGCTGGAAAGTTTGATTGCTGTGAAACCTGCGTGGCATTGTGAAGTGCCATATTTTGGGGCTAATATTTTGGGGCTAAAACTTAGCGAAAGGGTCCATCAGGGTTGTTGGGTTTTTGTCGATGAACTTTCCAACTGCTTTATATAACATACGATATCTTTTAGTATGCTGTAATGCACCTTTGCTTCCAATTCTGTCGTTTTTTGAGTAAAAATGAACTAATGGGCTTTTTCATGTGATTTTTAAAATTCGCACATTATCCAAAATGATCAGAGCCGTGAATGAAACCTGACAGATACCGGCGCAATCGCTCTTTCAGCTCGTGAAATCACTGAGGAGAGGAGGAGAAAAACCGATACATCTCCTGTCTTAAATTTCAGCCAGAAATATCCGATAATTGAGGGAACCCGTCAAAGTAAGGCGAGCCTTCGCCTGCCAGGTTGGCCCATGCGCTGCCGGGGAGGCACAGGGCGCAGCTCCGGGTGGAGAGGTCATCTACGGAGGAGAAATATTTTCCAAGCAGGTGATAGATGTAAATCTTCGGCTTACTAAAAATATCCCTGTCTCTAAAGCGTTTGGGAGGAGCTGGGGATGGTTTGGTTATTGCCGGAGCGGCAACGTGTGGGAGGAGGAAAGCGGAGGGTCCTTCCCACCGCCCGTGGGAGCGGGATGCTGGGACGGGGGATTTGGGATCTCCTGCCTCCGAGGTGGACCAGAGCAATGACAAACCTGAGTCGCGATCCCGCCGAAGGTGGGATCCGGGCTGTGGAGGCAGTTTGTCCATCCCAGCACGCTGCCCGCCGCGGCTCCGGCATGGCGGGGAGGAACAGCCTGCGCGAAAGCTTCCCCAGCGAACAGCACAGCAGCTGAACTCTTACCTATGAAATTCAATTCCGGATTTCCTAAAGCAATCTCCTCCCTGTTCCACCAGCATCATCAGGGAAGAGTGTAATTTCATTTAATCCGTCTCTTTGAATTCAGAGTCAACTGCGTTGCCATCACGCTAATATCGCTGCTCTGCCATCCCTAGAGACAGAGTGACGAGTTTAGACCTCAAATCGAATTTGGCTCTAAGCTTCCAGAGAATCTATCAGCTAAATTACCCGTGGTCGCTACCCAGAAGCTTTGTCACGCAGTTTAAGCCCTGCGAGGACGCATTAGGCCAGGCAGGTGAAGTTATAGCACTTTTTGTTTTAGGAGCAATGAAATGCTGAAACAATATATATGCAAAGCAATGGAAATATTTATGGTGAGGGCTAAGTGTTCATTTTCAGGCCAAGCGCTGCCTTTTGGTGGTGCTCAGCTTTCGGAATTTGTATCTTCCCTCGTATGACTGCAAATAAGGTTTTCGCTTGCCGGGATGTTCACAAGCAGTTGTTGACATAAACCTCTACATAAACTATAAAAACTAGATAAACTACAGAGCTTTATGTCAAATATACGTGTGTTCTGATGGGCTTTCGTGGACAGAGGGCTGCAAACGACTCCTGGCATGACATTCATGTGAGCCCTCGTTCTCCTGCTGAGGTCTCCGCTCCACGGCGTATGGTGGCAGTGGCACAGCGCTCGTTTTGCCAGTGAATAGTAAATTTTCTGGGAAGCGAAGTTTGGGAATGGTGAGAGCTATAGTTAAAAGGGATGAGTTCAAGGGATATTTAGGCCGAATGAAAGGTGAGATTTCGGAACAGCTCTACGTTTTGAAGTTCTCAGCTCACATTTCTGTTATTGTTCCTCTTTGAAATGGCATTTTCCTTTTAAATGCGATCTTTAAATTGTAAAGGCAGTCTGTAATGAGTTCAAGTGATCCACGAGCTGAATTAAACCTTTGATTTGAGGTCAAATGGTTTAGCCCCACCTGGGATGGAAATGTTGTAACCTTTTCCTTTAAATAAGCCATACATATGTAAGCTGCTTTATTTTTGGGTGAGCTGCAGCTGGGGGTGTGAGCCCTGGAGCAGTTTCCCGGGGAAGGAAGGATGGATGGACGGATACTCCAGCTTTTCCAGCAGGATCTCCACTCCCATCCCTGCAGCAGGAGCTGCTTCTCAGCGGCTGCGAGGGGACACGGAGCCTCGAGGGGTCTCTCTCCCCCTTTGCACGGTGCTCGGTTACAGCAGCAGCTCTGTAATGTTATTAATATTAGGTGAAGCGCGTGGAAAGTATTATTTCGTGCAATATAAGCAGGTGGATAGTGGGGGTTACACCGAGCGGGAGATGTGTGCTCCGTAGGGGGAAACTGGGAATTTCCCCTCTGGGCATGGCAAGCTGGGAAGCGTATTAATAGCCATCATTACATTAGAATAATTGCTGTGGAATCAGCAAGCGCGTACATAATCTTTAATGCCTGGGAAATCTCACACAGTTTCAAAATAATTAAAAGTGGGATTAATCTAGATGCCAGACAACGCCTGCCTAAT